GTCTACAGAATGTTATTTCGCGTGGCACTACTATGGAGCAATTCGACGAGCCATAAGCATTGACAGTTACATGTGCATCGCGTGCAGGGTCGCAGCAATTCATGAGCATTGGCCGGGCACAGCAGTCCATCGGAAGAAAGCACATCTTGCAGTGGTTGCAGAACGCTGATGCAATTTTCCACAAGCTTGGTAACACATGGCATGAGGCATTGGTTTGTGCTCCAGTTTTTTGGCGTGTATTACGATGACTACATGCGTTCGCTTGAGGCTGGCTGAATCAGTCCGCAATGCGAAAAGTCCCGAGCCGTCTTAGCCAACAAGGTAGCAGACGCTCGTCGATGGCGTCGATTATTCATCTACATTCGACAGGCACTGGCAGATGATTAGATGGTTCACGTAGGCCTCCACCACTGCCCTTTTGAGCCCTCTCACTATTCGCCACCTGCTTTTCACTTTGCACGTTCTTCTCCGTCCTTGTTTGTTGATTGCCTTGCATTATATATATATATATATGTATATATGCGCACCGGCCCCACGATTCACGGAAGGTTTTTTAGCACGAAATGTATTCGCGTTTATTCATGTGCATATATGCAGCCCCTTCGTTCGGCCATGGGATCCGGGAATCTTGGACTCATGGTTTTCGAGCTGATTCTGAGCCATATAATTCCCTCTTTTAACGGAATTTTGTGAGTGACAGCTCTTGGAACCTCTGTGGCCACCTGAAGAATTGACTATTTCTCCGGAGATATCCGAGAGGTTCTTTGAGAGTTGCTCTGAGTTTTTCGTGAGTGCGAGTTATTTTTGACCTGTGAGTTTTTTGTGAGTACAATAGTAGCTCTGAGATTCTTGTGAGCGGGTGCCGATCTGCCAGCGGGGCTGGGGGAGGGCTTGGCAGGCCTCACAGAAGTGCACGCAGAATTCTCCCAGACCCGCTCATAGATCGGGGCCCGCTCCCAGACCCCGCTCGCAGAATTCTCACGGACCCCGCTCACAGACCTTTGGAACCCGTTTTTGATGGAAATCCCATGGTAGGCGCCCGCCCCAGGTCTCGGAGAATCCTGGGAGACAATCCTCTGAGCGGGTCCCGATCTGTGAGCGTGGCTGAGAGCGGGCTGACACACCCGCTCACAGAACCGTTCAGGTCACAGGAGTCCCAAAGGCTGCGTCCACAGAAAACTTGCAGATGCTTCCCCGATCACAAGAATCTCACCGGCTGCGCTCACGGAAAACTCGCAGATGCTTCCCTCGCACTTTCGCTCTCAGACACCTCACAGAGAAACCACAGAATATGCATTGTAGAGGTTCCAGAAGTTGCAGGCCATTGCAATGCACAAACTTGATTAAAGTCAATACGGAAATCCTGGATCAAATATTTTGATATGGGAATCCCGGAGTCCTGGACTACTGATTTTCGATGTGGTCCTGGTCCATATAAACTCCTTATTAACTCTAATTAGAAATGATACGAAAGTCAAGGAATCCTGGGCTTCTGATTTGGGACCTGATCCTGGTCCATATACATTTCATCGTTTAAAAATCATTAACAACAATACGGATTCCTGGTCTTGGAATGGATTCTGGTCTATGCAACTCCCTTTTCACTTCAATGAAATTCAATACGAAACTCGAAGCTGGGGCGTGTCCAACATCTGATCATGTGCAAATGCTTGTTCGAATTGTATTTGCAGTGTTTGCAGGGGGTCAGTGGATGATTGGGGGGTTGTGTCCATACATATATATATGTATATTATATATATACATATATGTATGTATATACATATATACATACATACATACATACATACATACATACAAACATATATATATATACACACACACACATGTGATCCTTTTTTTTCTCGGTTTCGATGCCTACGTTTGTAGCTCTGGTTGCTCCATGGTGCATAGGTCCATCATAACGTGGACCATCAGAAGGCAGTTCGACGTACAATGCCCGGATTGCCAGACACCGAGAGGTCAACAGAATATGCGGAGCCGCACAAGTGCTTCCCTTCCCTTTGAGGTGTTTAGTTTTGTTTAAGGCTACGCCCTTGCGCGCGGCTTGGGGAGGTGCATCTGCTCGGTCAGACGCATGAGAAACTGTCGGGAACCATCATATCAGGCACTGGTCTGTGCTAGCCTTACATTTTGCACAGTACGAGCTTATCGTTCTGGAGATCTTTCGATGCACCGGTGCACTGATGTATCAGATCTAGGTGGTGAGGAAGCATCTCATGAAGGCAGATGTAGACGGTGCGCAGCCGATAGTCCATCCCCGATTTGTCATGAAATCTTTCTTGGGGTGCGAGCTGTTTCAGTGCTTCAGGCATGCTCGCCGCCGACGGCGATATCGAGGTAGCAGGGGACTTAGCAAGATTACAACCACAAAGTCCCTTGTTCTGGCGCATCTCAAGTGAGGTCTCGAGTTGGCTGACAACTGCCGTGGCCTGAGGGCAATCAAAAGCATGGAAAGGCATGTGGACTGCTTACAATCTTGAATTGGTGTACCCAAGCAAATTGCAGTGGCAAGGCAACGTCTTTTTTTGGGAGAACGGCCGCGTGGTGCAAGTAGTTCGCTGCAGTGATGGGCAGGCGCACTTCATGAGATCCACGAACCTTCGACAGTTCCACCCCAGTGCAGAAGGTCATTCGAGAGATTGACACTGGCCAGACGTTCCGGCGCCGCAGTCTAAGCATATTCGAACTGAATAGAAGGCCTCAAAGCAGGGCTATGTTTAAGTTCGCAAAAGACTGCAATCAGGGGCCGTCGCAGCTATGTGCTAGCCGCTTAAGCAGTCACGTTGAAACATTATGTTTAGATGGACACTCAATGCCCCCCCCAGCATTCTGCGGTAACAGATGCATGCGAAAGGGATGCTGCGTGGGTCCGCTGTCTTGTGCGTGCGTTTTTGTCAAGCCAGGAAAGCCTTTCCACGCAGCAGTGCAAATGTGGCATCAGATGCAGTTAAGACATCTGACTACTGCTAAGGGTGCTTTCACAGACTCGCTAACGTCAAGAACAAGTTGTTCGTTTGCCTGAATGATTGCATCAAGGAATCGGGCTTGCTGTTTGGTGTTGCCATCCCTGCCATAGTAGCGGAGCCTTTCTTCAGCTTCTGTCCAAGAATGCAGGTTTGGGAGTATGACAGTTTGCGCGAAGCTGTCACCCTACCAGAAGCAAGGTGAGCCCCGTCACAAACTTTAGTCAGCTCATCCAAGCCTGCTAGAACAGGCATTATGGCTTGCCAAGAGCGGCAGTCCAAGGAATGACCGCGGTTGCAACATGTTGAAACTTGTTTCCTATCTGCCTATCTTTAGTTTCCATGCAAGGTTGGCCGGCCCATGGAGTTGTTGGTGCACAGGCGTCGGGCAATTCTTGGAAGCCTCCCGTTAAGTTTGCGACTTGTACTTTCACAGCATCTCAAAAGATAGTGATGCATGAGAATCACAGGCAACGGCTCATCCTGGTGGAGAGCAACTGCTGCCTGTTGTGGCATACCGAGACCTTGGACTTCGTTTGCTGCATCCAGGCCAATCCCTTTCATCAGTGCTCGGCGAAAGGCAGTTGTTTTACACAGGCATCACGGTGCGACAGATCCAAGCAAAGTTCCGAACATCCGGTGGACCTGGGAACTACATAGCTGTTTGTTGTGTTTCTTCATCTAGATGCAATGTCAGAATCGGTGAAAGAGCCTGTGTATCGTTTGGACCACCCGCACGTCTGAAGTACTAGCCTGACACAGCAAGGGATTGTCCAGGGGGCGCAGAAACAATCGAGCATGTTTGATTAGGTCCCGCAAAGAAGGCCGGCTGACTCGGCTGACCTTGTGCTCATAGGAACCAAGGCACACAGCTGGCTTAAGTGATCATCCCTTTCTAGAAAGCAGAAGCAGCCCTTCATCGGTTGGCTTGGATCTTGCAGCAAAGGAACCCTTGGAGGTGAAAAGACAGAGCATCAGCACTGGAAAGAAGCAATTTAAGACATGTCGCGCAGCATCACGCAAGCAGGTCATTCTGCATTGTCAGCCTTACTTGTGGCAAGATGCTTTTTAAGCATTCACTTTTTTTTTGTGGACCTGCTGAGTGTCAGTCATGTGCGTAGGAGCAGTACATGCCCCGTCATGTGAGGCAGGTGAATTGCAGAAAACTGCCCAATCTCGGCCTCATGTCATGAGCGCAAGATAGCAAGTTTTAGTGGAGAGGACGGAGAGCGACATTATTCAGTCTTCTGCTGCTATCTAGCAGATTATCTAGGATTCAGCCGATGAATGGTTTCCCAGCCGGTGAAGTTACACAAGGAGAGGAAATTGAAGTCCTCCGAGTGAGCCAGTGACCCTTGCAGGAATGCTGCATAAGGAACCCGTAACCCGTATCTTGGTGTTTCTTGTCGTGTTAGTGCAGCTGCAACAGACCTTCTAGGCAGCAGGGATGCTGTGCAGCTCGGAGTGACATGTGCAAAGATGTCAGATATACGTGCATTCCCGTACGTCCCCGCAGTGGGACTCTTCTGTTTGGACTGCTCGTCGCTCAACAAGATAAAAGTTTGAATGAGCTTGCCAGCATGATGATGTCGGTGCGGGCGTGGGTCTTGCTGGAGCTCAGAGATATTGCTCGGCACTCAGCAAAATCCTACTGGCTGCATGGCTGAACATCTGCTTGGCACGCTTCCCACTTCCGTCGTCTGAAAGCCACGAGCTTCTAAGTTTCTAAGTGCATCATTGTCTAGAGGTGCGAAAGATGCATTTGAGGCGCAGAATTCCCTTGGCAGTTGGAATTTGATGATTGGAAAACACGACAAGTTGCAGGTGCAGTGGATGGGCAACTTGTTGATGACTTGGCATCATGCTCCAGCTCCTCAAGTTGAGGCAGGATTATTGCTGGAAGGCGAGCACAGTTAGCTTCTTCAAGCTGCAGGGTGGACAGAGAGCCCTTAATGCTTGATCCCCGGATGAGAGGCAAGTGCATTGCTTGTCTCTGAGATTGCTCAGCAGAGTGAGGTTTGGACATTAGATGGTGAGCGTCGGGCCTTCTTGAAAACTGATGGCCCGCTGGTGCAGGCATCTTGGGCCTTGGGTAGTTTTCACGGTGTTTGTTTCTTGTATCATGTCAGGTAGATGTTGCGCGTGTGACCTGGGTGTCGGTCCGAGTCTCGATTTCAGCCTACCTTTAGTGCCGTGTTGCACTGCACCCAGTCTGATCAGTCCAAATTCACACAGCGCCCTCCTAATCGATGCAAAGAAAGATGATATGAGAGCGTGCATGAGGCTTGTAATTCGGCAACAGAAAAACGCGTGCGCCATTCGCAAAGGGAAAGGTGAACTCCGGCTTCTGTGAGTGAGAGCCATAGCTTAGGTGGAGGCCTTGGACCACTTTGTCCTTTGTGCTCTAGATTCCAAGCGTCTTGGCTGAAATCTTGTTGCTTCGAGGCAGGCAAGCATCAACCACTTTCCTTTTCCATCAAAGGTCAGTCATAACCTTGTGGGACTCCAAAGCTGGGTTTTCTCCTATCTTTCGCTTCTACAGCGGCTGTGAGGCGTGGCACTCTTGAAGTTTTGAAGTGGCATGCTCACGTTTCCAGGACCCGTTCGACCTTGTCCTGACACAGGTGTTGACATGAAAAGTTCTGGCTGATTTTCACCCTGCTAAGTCATTATGATTCTTCAGGATTTCATGGTCATCATCCAGGACAACCTTCCTAACAACCGCTAGGGACCTGTCAGGGAGATTGTAGGCGAGGTAGCGAACTGAACGAGTTCCAAGGCTTCTTGAACTTTGGGCTGAGGTCTTGATCTCTTCTTCTGGAAGCTCTGGCTTCATCCCGACTTCGAGGCTGAAAGCATGTCTAAAGGAGCAGGAGGGTGTACTTGATCGTACGAGAGAATGTTGACAGGTGGACGGCACGGATAATCAATGCAGTGAGGGCAGTGCTCTTAGGCCAAAGTGCTAGTGCCAAGCATGACTGAACAAAAGAGATCTCAGCAATGCAACGCACAAGGCCTCGAGAGACGGCGCCGCGAAGGTCCTGCAACGTTGATCTAGTGGTGACCTTTTGGTTGGCGATCCCCACAAGCAGGAAGACACCAGCGAGAGGCACCAGCGTGGAAAGGTCATGTGAATGTGGGTTCGCGGTTAACTTTGCCATCCTTGATGGCAGGCTTCTTTGGAGTCGCTGCCTGCAGGGGCTCGCTTTGCGCCTCAAGGCAGCACTTTCCTCGCAGAAGTGCTTTGAGAGTTTATCAAGAGATTTGTAGCAGGTGGTGCCCTTTCGGCTGTAGCCTCATCAATTTGACGTCTGTGTCTCTTGGAATCCTCCACCAGTCAGTGCAGGTGCCTGCAACCGGGCTGGTGGCCGGATTGGATTTGGCCCGTGCCTCTGGCGTCGTTTGAGAGCACGGAGAATGTCATGCATGAGATTGCAGAAGGCATCAGCAGCTGCAGCGCAACTTAGTGGAGATGCATTGCAGTACCTAGCTTAGCTGCAGCAGTTGCCCTGCCGCTCAGCTGCACTGGATACGTACAGGCGCTTCTTGTACAAAGAACTTCGACCCAACTGTCGTTTGATTAAGACGCTGCGACCTCAGCGATTAGAGATAATCGCCGTTCTAAAGTACCATGAATTTTAAATGCAGGGTGGTTGGTGTTTGACAACTTATGAGGCTTTCCCTCCCTGACGTCGACACTTACTTTGCCTCTTACAGGACATGGACACCGTGAGTTTTCTTTTCCATTGAACGGGGCCTGCCGTCCTGCAAGTTTGCGTAGCAAGGCGTGTCAGCTGTATCCCGCTGCAGGAATTTTCTGAATATCTGCTCTTTTCACAAGTCGGGCCAGGCCAGCTTCAGTGTTTACCATGGGCCACTGAAACATGTCCACAGCACACGCCCCTATGACCAGGAATCACTGAGTGTCTACCGCTCCAGCTCACTTCAGTGCTGGGCTGTGGATTTTTTTCATGAAGCGCATGCTTTACAGTGGGAATGTAAGCTCTCCGGAAGACTCGGATCTACCTGGCATCGCTACAGGAAGAAAGTGTTTTTCCCACCTGCCAAGCACACCAAGTTTGAAGAATGGCCGCTTGACTGCAGGCAGGGGTGTGCGGCAGAAGAGCTGTGAGTATATCATGTGGAGGCCTCCTCAGCCACAAAACTTAGCTAAAACCGAGGATAGCTTTGCAGGCGTGGCTGTGGAGTTTTGGGTGAAGGCATCAGAAGACGCAGTAAGGCTGCAACATGACAAGCCAGGTGCAAAGTGATGGCACAGTTGTGGTTCATGATTTCCGGCCTGGTCAGGCCTTTTGTGAGATCTTGACGAAGCTGCTTTGACAAATTGCGTTGACCGTTGGCATTTTTGTCCCGTGCTCAGATGGCCTTCGATGAGCTGCCTCCGACAGGGCCCGCAGGCAACTGCAGTGCAACACAGCAAACTCATTTCTTTGGGGACTTCCAGTGAGGTTCTTGGTGGTGAAGGCTTCAGTTCCATGTTTGTTCACATGCGTGGATTGATGTCGAAGGAATTGGATTGCTTTTGCAGAGTGGCAAGAGCTGTTGGTCAGTAAAGACAACTGGCCAGCTGTCGCGGCTGCGGCCACATGATGCTTGACGCAGGCGGCATTCGCTTCGAGGCTGACACGAAACAGCCCGATGCCTAGTTCAGCTATTCTTCGTACAACTGCTATTTTGCTTTGGCTTGGATTAGTGGTTTCTCAAAAGTTTCTTGGTCAAGGCGGTCTGAGAAGAGAGTTGTAGGTCTCCATAACATTCGGCTTGATCCCGGTGCTGCTCCACGCACCCTGTGAAGGCCAGCGGAGGTGCCGCGCCAGCGCGGGTCTTCAAGCGTGCCTTGGACCATCTTGGACCTGTTTCCGCTTGTTTTTCAAACCACAGCATTTCTACATGGCGTGCTCGTGCCAGGGACACGGAAGACGTTCCAGAGGTGCCTGAAGGGTCAAAGCGGCAGGCCACGTGCTGTCGGGCCCAATGAGCCCCGTGTTCTTGGCCTGGAGTTCCACGCTTGATGGCTTGAATGAGCTTGGTAGGAAGGTTCACCGTGCCTGGTGATTGAAGCGCTTCAAGCAGGGGCATGAAAGATCCAGATCCAGGTGCATGTGCTGCGTACTTGCTGTTTCCTTTTAGCAAATGACTTATGAGATCGTCTGATCCTGCGTGGAGTCTGCGTGGGTTTTGAAGCTGGTCGCTGGTCCTTGGCCACCTAGCTCTAGCTAGGAGGGAGGCGAGCAACATGGCTTCAAAAATGTGCTGTGCTTGTGCTCACTGAGAATTAGCGCAATGCTTGCTCCATGTCACCATCTGCCATCTTCCCGCTTTCAATCGAAGCAAGAGAAGTCAGCACAAGATCATGTAGAAACTCAGGCCAGAAGTCTGGACATGCGTAGCTGGCAATGCCCGCATGGAGAAGAACACACGATCCAGCTTGGATTTAGTTCTGCCTCACAGCAGATGCGAAGATGCCTACGCCTGAGAAAGACGCATGTGCCAGCTTCAGTAAATGTGCTCAACAAAGGTGCGACATCCAGGTTCACCCTATTACCAGGTCGCCGTGGTAGTCCGAGAAGCGACACGCAGGGCCCACGCGGCATTGAGAATCATTGAGGTTGAATTTGTATCTTCTGTGTGGCAGCCGAGCTGCTCCGCCTTCGAAGTGATGGAAACATATCGAAACATGTTGGAAGGGTCCATACATTCGCATACCACAGAGCACAGGCCAGCGCCCACAGACATTGAACAGCAGCTTTGCTTGGTGCTAAATTTATCTCGCCTCCAACATGCTGCGTGTTTTCGGACACCGCTTGGTGTTGCTACATTCGGTTCCCAAGGCCGATGCATCATGTTTTTCTTGTTTGAGTCAGAAAATCAGATCGCAGCCGGTAATTACTTACTTTAGCTGCCCGGGATCCCTGACAGGTTGCACGGGTCAGTGTGGTTTTCGCGCGACCTGGGCAGTGGCGCTACATCACCGCTAGCACAACAGCAGGCTCGCAACTAGATGGTGCTATATTCCGAAAAACCATCAATCTGCATCTCTGCGGACAGGCAAGGAGCAAAAGGAAAAGAGCATCGAGCAAGACTTCACCGACTCCAAAGTCGCCTTTGAGTCCAAGAGCCTATGCTGCTTTGTTGAAAGTGAGCGAGTTTGGCCCATGTAGTTCTTGCTTTGAACATGTGTCCCAATTCCCAATCCGCAGTGGAGCGCAGGGGAACTGATTCGCGCTTGGTGTGTTTTCCAGACCTGTGCAATTGGCCCAATCGTGCGGCATTGTGACACCCTCTATGACTACTCCATCAAAATCTTGGGCTCAAGGCCAGGTGCTGTGACTTCCTGATACTTCTTGATTGTTTTGATGATTGGATGATGTTGTCCTATCTCTGGAGGCTGACCCACCTTCTTCTCAGGAAGACCTTCTTTGATCATTTCTGCGCTGGGGAAACGAGCCAGGCTGGTGTTTCATTCTCCCCCTGACCTCATAGACTATCGGATATTTAGATGCACACTTTACTGGAGGATGTTTGGGGATAGGCATGTACCCTTCCACCTCTTTCTCTTGTTATTACTAGTCCTATCACGACGGCGATGATAGTACTTGTTATCATCATCAGTTTTGGTTGGTGCTCTTTTTGCTAGTGTAGGTGTAGTAGTAGTGGTGGTGGTAGTAGTAGTAGTAGTAGTAGTGGGCGGCCAGCATTTGGAAGACGCTTAGGTACACGTTTCAAACCAAAGCCCAAGTTTCGAAACAAGGGGCAGGGGCGGTGCGGGACTTTCAGCATGATGGTCAAGATCCTCCACCCGCATCCCCCCTCCCCCGCCTGAGATTAAACACGGGCGTCGTTACCCTCACAAGGGTACGCATAGCAAGACCACAGCGTTTCTATTCCTATGCGCAGGGCACCGGTACCATATATGACCATATACTCCCAGAACCAAGTACATAGACGGTATTCTTGTATAGACATGAACTGTACTTCATAAAGCACAGCACTTGCGCCCATCTTTAGTCTTATTGCACGCCCCTGTTGCTGATAGTGGTCCCGCTCAGTGACAGTTGGATAGCACTTAGGATGTGGGATTTCCAAAAAATAGGGATGCCATTTGGATCTTGGAGGTATCTAGGGATTACAAAAGACTATGGCTTCCTTGGCTAATTTGGAGAAATTACCATACATGTAAAGCCCGCATTATAGACTTCTGTGGGAGTGAGATTGCCTCAATGCAGGAGAAACACATCGAAAACATTGAAAACATAAACGAAAACTGGGATTGTGTAGTGGATGGTTTGAATAGTGGTGCCTCTCCAAGAGGTTCCAATGGGAATATTGGTGGGTATATATATATATATATTTTGTTTTTTTTCCCGTTTTTTTAGGTTCACCTTAGAGGACCGTGAAGTAAGCTCATTGCAATTCATGCCATCTACAGGGGGGCATATGGGGACGTATACGGGCTATAGAGGGCTTATTGGGCTTAGGGTTGAGGGTTTAAGCGGTATGAGGATTGGGCACGAATCAGAAAAATCCTGCGAGTCAGGAGAAAGGCAGGTATTGACATCGGAAGTAAGGAAAAGGCAGCTGACAGAGGGAAGCCAAGGGCAGACATACGTTTAAACCACGTCCTTTTCACTTAGCGATGAGTAGAATGACATGATAGAGGGAAAGCCAGGAACAGCCATATGCTAAAACCACCCCCTTCAACCATTGCTAAAAGTAGGAAGACATGACAGCTGAGAAGGAGAAAACCTGGTAAGCACATTCGTCAAATCCGCCGTTCATTTTGCAAGAGATAAACAGAAAAGACAGATGAGAGAGGGAAGAGAGGTGCAGACATATGTTAAATACCCCTTTTCTATTTTGCGATACGTGGGAAGACGTATGTTAGAACCACCCCCTTTTTCACCTTGCCATAGGTAAACAGACATGACAGAGGGAAAGCCAGGTACAGACACAGGTCCAAACCACACCCTTCTCGCATTGCGATAAGAAAAAAGACATGGCAGTGAGAAAGCCAGGTACAGACATGTGGTACAACCATCCCGTTTCACATTGCGATAAGTATAAGGACATGACACAGGGGAAGCCAGGTACAGGTACGGACATATGTTAAATCCGCCCCCTTTCTCACCTTGCGATCCGACATATGTTAAACGCCACCCCCTCTCCACCATGCAATAAGTAGAAAGACATGATGGAGGGAGAGCCAGGTACAGACAAACGTTGAAACCACCCTTTCTTCACCTCGCAAAAGGTAGGAAGACATGACAGCTGGAGGAAGAAAGCCAGGTACGCACATATGTCAAAATCTCCCCTTCATCTTGCGAAGGAAGAAAAGAAAAGACAGTTGAGAGAGAGAAGTAAGTTACAGACAAGTGTTAAAACCTTTTCACCGTGCGATAAGTCGGGAGACGTGACACAGGGAAAGCCAGGTACATTTTTTTAAGCGAATATCCGAGCATCCAGGAGGTCAGCTGCGTTACGCCCCTTTCCTTTTCCCATGATTTTGGTTCCCGACTCACGCCTTCGTTTTTTCCCGATTCGCTGTTTCCCTGTTTCCCCGACGCGCGCCTTCCTTTCTCCCGACTCACGCCTCCCTTTTTCTCGACTCACGCCTCAACCACTTGGAATATCAGAAAATTGGAAACGAATGAAGGAATTAACAAGAAAACAAGAAAACGGAAACTGCAGTATCAGAGTTTCAGGTTTTAGGGTGTATTGAGGCTGTTGAGCTATTTGGAGGGTCAAGGGGATCTAGTAAGTAGGTTAATACTAGAAAAGAGAACGAGAGAGAGAGTCTTGCTCATGAACAACGGTAAGTGTATTGATGGGGTGTCTCTGGAGTCTTAGAGGCAAACAACACAGTTCAATGTCATATGAGCTACGGTCAAAATTTAGTAGGTAGTTAATGGATACGGGTCCTTATTAGGGAATACTTGAGGGATTATACTGGGGTAAGCTTAATATTGATAGTAGCTGGTATGAGTATCCTGAAATGGAATTTTTATAGTCTCCAGCATAGAATAAGATTACATTTTCTTTTTTCTTATGATGTTCTATAGTATGCTGATATTTAGAAGCTCTAAAAGTGAGGGGGGCGGAGGTATGCGCCCTTCATTCTTGAAGCACTTGCAGTACCCCGAATCCGAACAAACCCCAAAGCACCCCACAGGTTTTTAGGCCCCTCTTTGCCTGCCCTCTTCACAACAGCTCGTCTGCACATGCGGCAATGCACTTTATCCAGATGCATGCGTGTCTGGAAGCAGTCTAGCATTTTGATGTTCACTCCGCAGGAGATTGTCCCTCGAATGCACGAGCTTCGCAGATACAATGCGCGGCGCTTGTTAACTCCAATCATCGCCGCAATCTCAAGTGAGTGGCACGCTTGCTGAGGTTGGAGGAATCTTAGATTACGCCGCAGAGGCCAAGGATGGCGAGCTTCCAGAAATCGTGAAGCCTACAGAAGAGGTCAGCGAGGAGGACACCTTTCTACCAACCCACACTTGGTAAGCATAGTACTGATTCCATGTTCCGATCTCCAGAGTACAGACTCGTTTGTAGAGATGCCTGTAGGAGATTGTCGGCGCGCCAATGAGCAGCCGCAGCTATGATTACAAAAACGAGGCCAGACGAAAGAGCACGCTGAAGAGCTGTGCTAAGAATGATTTAAGAATGACGGAAGAACTTGGATGCATCTTTTCCAGGCCATTTGTGATGCCAACGCCAAGATCTTTCGAACGGCTGTTCGTGCAGTTAAAGATGCGACACCAGATGGCTTTGCCGCAATCAAGCTGTCAGGCTTGGGGAGCCCGGATAGCATTGCTCATGTACATTACCGCTCCATGAAAACAGCTGCCAGATTCATTTACATTAGCTCATTGCTGCCAAGGAACCCGCACTTGCTGGAGCGGATGTCCAGCTGTCTTGGTGAGATATGTCGATTGCAGCCTGGCAAATTTCAAGGAGCCAGGAGGGACGTGTCAACTGCTAGGATTTCTGCCATGATGGCTGAGGTACAAGAGGTTATCGAACGACGAGGTTTCGACAGAGCCGTTTTATGAGCCCTGCCTTGACATTATCATCCAGTTCTCCTCACAGAGTGGAAAGCTGTTGGGCACCCATTTTGCATTGCATTACGCCTGCGTAACAAATGACAATTAGTTGAGCACCAAGCTAAGAACCACAAATGCATGCGGATTCCATGCTTTGTATGTCCGCTGCCATTTTGGTTTTAGTTGGTGCACCTGCAAGTGGAACGTCTTGTTCAACTTTTCAGCTCTGCTGCCATAGTCCTCCTTGGCCTCTCTTTGACACCTACGGCTAAAGGTGCTAGAGATCAGCAGAAGGCGCACCAACTCTTGGAGTGCAGCAAACACTGGTTCTTGAACCAGTTGGCTTTTTGAGGGGCGCTGCAACTCGGCGATGCTTCGCCGTGTGTTTTCCTGTAATCAGTAATCAGGAGCTACATTTGCTGGCTTTGAACGACCTGTTCATCGCTATACAACAACGTCTTCGGGGCTAATGTTTGGCTGGTTTCCTCACAGAAGCCGAGTACATCATCATCGGGTCCCCGCCTGGATCACCATCAGGTTCTACATCCTCCTCCTCCTCTTCTACTACATCCAGCGATCTCGCCGCTGAGCCGACATCATTTTCTGGCCTACAGCGATCACCATGAACCCTCTCGACAGGAACCCCAGCATTGTGGACTGCCCCTCTTGGGACGAGCTGCTTGGATCCGTTCATCGTGACTGGGCCATTGTCTTCGGCCAGAACATCACAGCGCAGGAGATGCGTCATCCTCCGCACAGTTCGTGCTGGCGGGCACGGTTTGCGAGTGAGTGCACGACCACGTCTACTCCAGTGCCCAGCCAGCTCGCCTAAACTGGCGCTGTGGATCCTGATCGGTGACATTCAGGGCCTGGGACACACTCTGAGCTTTAGTGTCTGTGCTTCACCGCCACTTAATCCTTTACCGCCGAGGCGACGGAGGAATTGGGGGGCAGACAGTAGACATCGCAAGTCACACCAGTTGCGCAATGGACCAACGTAGCCAACAAGAACCGCATCCATGCATCTCGTTGCGTTTATATACGATTTGTAAAGTGATTGCAGGCGTGTTATGTGCCATTCATGGGGCATGTTATGTGCCAAAACGTCTTTTGTGCCTTCATACAGCCTGTTGTGAACACTCTGAACAGCTTGGCTGCGCATGTTATGTGCCATAGTGACCCCAGAAGCTCAGCAAGTAGCCCTCTTCATCCCCGCGCAACTTGCGACAGCATGGCGCCCCAGCTCTCAGCGCAATGGATGGCAACATGCAGTGGCCCCACTTTGACACGCCAGCAGGTCAACATCGCCAACGCCAGGGTCACCCAGAAGGCTTACGGTCATCGCGCAGCGCGCCGTGTTGGAGCGCACTGTCCTTCGCGGACTCCGCCAGCAGTTCTCCGGCGTGAGTTGTGATGGAGTTGGTCCACATCTGGATCGATCACCTCGCCGGACAGGCCCCCGCCACCATGTCGGAGACGTGGTTGAGGACACAGCCACCTGCGCTCTGAAGTCCGTGGAGAATTACCTCACCTTGTTGGCGCAGCCTGAAGCACACGCACCCTCGAGAACTGTCTGTGCTGCGCGTTCTGAGGGGCATGCCGTTTTCTGACTCCTCGCTATTATGCCTTAAGGCGCACCAGATTGGAGGTGTCATTATTGCTGCTGTTGCTTCCAGTGCATCAACGGGGACAAGGATGACTACTACTTCACCTCGCGCCCCACTCGCAGTCCTGCTCTCCCCGGCAAGCGCGGCGCAGCGGTCAGCCCCAACACACCGACGGAACACCCGTCGCCAACCTGGGCACGGACCGTGACAGCTACCCCAAGCGTTGTGTCATCGCTCTCGACGAGGACAGCCCACGCCAGCGTCGGCTCTACATTGAAGCGCTCTGGAGCGAGTCCAAAATTGGCCGGGTTCGGCGCCGTCCTCCTCTTGCGCCAGAAAATCAGGACCACCAGGCATCGCGAGGGCGACGCGTAGTACCGCGATCGGAGCACCGATTGGGCAGCGTTTGCGGAGGAGAACCCCGGCAAGAACAAGGCGGACATAGGGTCATCCTGAGGGCTCGGATCCTTAACTTGGTTGACCAATTCACAGCAGACGTCCAGACATCCTCCGACACCGACACCGAGCGGGCTCGTGTGATGGCCGTGCTTCGGCGAAGATACGGTCAAGTCCTCCTTGGACCCTATACATGGGACAAGCGAGAGGGTCGACGCAGGCAACCATATCACCGACTGGGCCCAGAAGAGCAGCAAGACAATGGACGGCCGCTACATCTGCAGGAGGATCGGGTGCCAGGCCGTCGTGGACCATAGACGTTGGCTCCGCAAAATCTCACCACATCATGCGACCTTCCAGGAGCAACTGCCCTCATTGCCTTCACCTTTATCGGCTGTTCACGCAACAGCAGGCCTCGTCCCAGCTGAGAAGGCCTTCATCATCGCCGCCCCAGACAGCAAACACCTCGTGACACCACAATAACGCAGCAGCTTCCTCGGCCTTCCAGGACGTCCGGGGCCGAGGGCTCCGATCGATCGCGCCAGTTACCTTCTCTACCTGCCCGAACGGGAGGAGACCAAGGAAGACAGACTCCTCCAGAACCTCAAAAAAGTCACTATCCTCAACATCCAGGAAAAGTTCTCTGACCAGGACGACTTCAACAAGTTCCTCGTCGAGGCCATCCAAGACGTCGCCGACCGGAACTTCGAGCGTGAGACGTGGGGCCGCAGTCAGATCCAGCAACTTCTCGGGAGCCAACCCTCCTTACCACCGTGCGGATCCCGGACAAGTTCTTCCGGGAAGAAGAACAAAGAGCGCACCTCCCGCAACTACAGCCTCACTGACTACCTTGCCGACCCGCCCATCTACAACATGACCAGATATACTCCCTCTTTAAGTAGATAGATCTTTTTTCATCCGCTGAGGAGATCTGCAAGAGGCGGAATGACCAGCGGCGACGCAACGACCCCAACTGCCCACAGGAGCATAGGTGAGATGTCATTGTAGGCAGCCAAGTGTGTGGTGTCAAGAACCACACCCACCCCTAGTAGTGCCCGCGTTGACAGCCAAGCGGCTTGACTTGTGGGGGCAGCGCGGAGTCAGGTGAGTTCTATTCCCGCCTGCAAAGTGCTCCGTGCCCGCCTAAGGCCCGGGTTGTTCCCGACAGCATGGCGAGGGCCTCGAGGGTTTCTCAAGGGAGGTGGTTCGTTGATGAGTGGATGGATGTTGCGCTGGCTTGATGGAAAGGATGGCGTGAGGTATGTCTGGAAAGGATTGCGAAAGGATGGCGCGAGTATTATCTTCGATGTGAATGTTTAGAAAGGATGGGTGAGTGGATGGATGTTGTGATGGCTTGATGGAAAGGATGGCGTGAGGGCTGGTGAAGCTCAATAGGCTGGCGTGAGGTGTCGGATGGGGAATCGTCTCATGGAAGGTCGTCCGGATGGTCTCCTAGATACTATACATTTAGAATGTTTTAAAGCACGGAGTAGGGCTGGCGGGAAGCGTAGCTATTTCCCATTTTCGCGCTGGCGCGCGGAGCGTCCTGGAAATTCTCGGTGCGAATGACGACCCTCTCAGTGTCGTGGGCCCGGTGACGCTGGCGCATGGAGCGTCCTCGAATTTATTGGCGCGAATGACGACCCTCTCGGTGGCCCCAGCTTTTCGAGTCGCTGGCGCGTGGAGCGTCCTTGAAATTAATTCTCGGTGATTGCGGCCTGTCGTGACGCTGGCGCGTGGAGCGCCCTCGAAATTCTCGGCGTGAATGACGACCATCTCGGTGTTTTCGGCGGGCGGCTCAAAATGCGCTCTCGCGTGGAAGGTCTTGTGTGAATGACGATCCTCTCGGTGGACGCGGCTTGTCGTATTGCTGGCGCGTGGAGCGTCTGAGTCCTCGAAATTCTCGGCGCGAATGACGACCCTCGGTGTTTTCTTGGGCCCGTCGTGACGCTGGCGCGTGGAGCGCGCTCCTCGGATTTCTCGGTGCGACTGACGACCCTCTCGGTGTTTAGGGCGCGTCGTGACGCTGGCGCGTGGAGCGTCCTCGAAATTCTCGGTGCGAATGACGACCCTCTCGGTGTCGTGGGGCCGGTGACGCTGGCGGGTGGAGCGTCCTCGAAATTCTCTGCGCGAACGACGACCCTCTGGTTCTTCCCGGAACACCGCTGGCCGCGTGTTGGGCAAGGCGGTGTATATTAGGTGTATTGAGTGGTTGCGTGGGTATTATTTGTCTCAATTATAACTCACCAGATGGCTAGCAGAACTTCACAAGGAACGTTTAGGACGTGGTGTTGATGATGAGTCGTGCCGTCGTGTCGTCTTTGCGAGGCTTCGTTTTACCAAAAATGCAAGGTTGTACGAGGTTTTGCTCACTCCGCCAAAACGCATTCGGGACAATCGTTCCCTAATCCAGGGTTGTAAGGTTTGTCTTGGTCCTTAACTCGTTGCCCCTAATTCTTCGCCTAGTTCCAGTGTTGTGCAATGTAAGAGTGGAAGTTCTCGCGTGAGCCCACGTTGCGGCGTTGCGCAGACGATCCACAGTAGTGGCCAGGAGCCCCCAGTGCAAGCCAGGCAGGCCAGGCAAAGTCCGGCAGTCAGGACAGGATACGCGGCAGTCAAAGAGTGAGCAGCAGAGGAAATCGTAGCAGTTGAGCGCCCAGATTGGTGTCAGTCACGCCAGCGGCTTCCGGTGAAGCTGCGGTACGTTGCCCGCACAGGTGCCCCGGGTGCACTGGGACCTACCCTGGCTTGGCCAATCTTTGCTGCTATTGCCGCAACCGCTATAGAACAGGATGATGACCTGTCCCAGGCTGTACGTAGATCGTTTGATGCGCCGTGCTTTGGCGCGACCATGGTTAAGGAGGTCCTGAAGCCTTGGTTCAGCCTGCGCAAGAGGAATTTGTCCAACGAGAGGAGTTGATCAGGCGCCGACGACAGTCCGCCTGGATGAATGCTGCGTCTGTGACCGCAAGGCGTGTTGGGGCATTGGCTGCGTCTCCGGCGC